TCTACCGTGAGCCACAACTTCGGTCCAGTCAATTGCTGAATACCTAATAATTTTATACCTGATTCTAAAAGTTGTGAGTTGTACCTGTTGTTAGCTGGATATTTTGTATTTCTGTAAGTTTTCTTGAGGTTTGTTCTTGGATGTGATTAAGTTACTTGGAAACAGTTTGATGTGTCCTCTTCTTGCTTTTAAGCGTTTTCAGGCAGGACTAGAGCAGCCCTACCCTAGTTTAATGTAGGGTTAATGTTCTTTCCTGGCACTGAGACAATACTCTTCTCAGAATTCTACCTGCTTCCTGATTTTTTTCTACTCTTGCCATTTGGGAACAGGCACTGTTCCTGGTCCTGTGTGAGCTTGGGAGTCTTGTTCTCCATAATTCTTTTGCGTGGTTATTTTTCCAGCCTTGGGTAGTTTGCTCATGTGCATGTTCAGGTCAATACACAAGGAGGACCCTCTTTAGACCTCTGAGTTCTGTCTTTATGCAACTCCTTCCTCTCCTGTACTCTGCCTTGCAAATTATATTTACCTCGGCCTCCGTGAATTTCCAGCTCTAACTCATCAGTACACATATAAAGGTCATTTGGTAGGAAGACCATGGCATCCAATGAGCACAGAGAAAGCCCGTGCTGCTGGAGGATCCCAGGTGTCTGAGGAGGAGAGAGGAAGACCATATTGCTGGGGGCAGGGGCACGGTTCGTGGCATCTGAGGGCAGACAGGAGACCCCCATGGCTGAAACAGAAGGACTAGGCTTTCCATGTTCTCAAGACAAAGACTCAAATTTGTACTTTGGCTTTCATCAGTGGATAATTGATGGTGATCCAGAAGGATCTAATTGATCAGCAAGTCAGCAATCAATTATTCAATATGATTTGTTCCCACTCACAGTCAAATCTTTCCACTGGGATAAGGATATAGTTCAGTGGAAGAGTGCTGGCCTAGCAGGCACAAGGCCCTGGGTTCAATCTCTACCACCACACACACACACACCACACACACACACACACACACACACACTTCAACTTATTTTTAGCCCTGCCAGTGTAACTCTATGAACATTGATTCTCTGACATTACATATCAGTTTTTAAGCCTAACAAGTCACAACCAATCAGTCCTTCAAAGGTTCCTATCAATTTTTGAATTATTTCTACATCCTATTGGACCGATTCAGCCCTCTTACAAAATATTCCCCAGTCTCACCTGCCAATTTTGGTTTTCATACATTGCTTAACTTACTGGAGTTCAGGTGACCTGGAAGGTGAGAGGTGGCTTCCTAGCTTTACGTGGAGACACAGCACTCCTGAATGTGCTCTGACATAACCAAACTTTTGCTCCCTTTGGAGGCTGGAAAGGTCATACTTATCTCTTCTTCTCTAAATTCAGGTATTGAAAAAGGAAAAAGAGAGAGCCAGATTATTCTTTATTTAAGCCCAAGAAAAAAGACTGTCTTATGTCTTTGGCCGTGAGGCCAAGCCCCTCCAGGAGAACTTTCTTGACATCATTGCCCTGAGTGGATGGGAGATACACATTCACTAGGGTGGAGAGACATTTCCAAGAAGACCCAGTTGTCTTCAGCTTTTTCATTTGGTCTCCAATGTTGTCTTGGGACCTAGCATTTCACTGATGTAGGAAAGAAGCCAGTGCACGTGAGTCAACTCAATTCAACAATAAAAATTCTCACCAAAATGGTAAGAGTGCAAAGATTGTATGACTTGGCACTCTTCCAGAAATTAGTCATTATGATATATTTTGTCTTTAATTAGCATTATGATGTTGCAAGAATAAATTCCACAAAGAAAACTAGGAAATAATTTTTACTTCTTGCCAAAATTATTGGTGAAATAAGTGTCTCTGTCCACCTGCAAGTCAGGAGCTGAGGAGGGCCGTAGAATTCAGAGGATTGTGCTGCCGGGGTGGGGAGCCCAGGGAGACAGAAAGGGGTAGGGAGGGCCTTAATTCTGCATTGTTTGTGAAAAACAATTAAAATGTCTGAGCTGGGTGGATGTAATCTTAGAGACAAATCAATCCAAATTTTGGTGCTACATGAGAAAAAGGTCCCAAACACATTGTATGAGCTGACTAAGATTACTCAGCTTAACAACACCCCGGGGTTGGAGAACCACAGCTTCAAACTTCCAGTCTCAGCAGTCTCATTACAATACTGGGTCTTCCCTCCATGACAGACTGAGGAACTGCCATCAGTCACCCTGGCTGATACAATGCCTGTACAGGAATGTCTCTGGGATAATCTTAGTTTTTTTATGTTATACTTTCATATAGAAAAAGGAAAGCCACACATATTTTGTAGGTTCATAAAAATGACTTTACTTTCCATTTCATTCCAAAATAAGTTTTTGTGCATACAGCAGAAATAAATGACAGAAACACTGAACCTTATACTGTTTTTAATAGAAACAATTTGAAGTGAGGATTCTAAGCAATGGATTGTAAGTAGAATTAAAATAGATGATCCAAAATGCAAGCCATACCTTACTTAATAGGCTGCAATGCTTTTTGACATGGATATTTCAATGCATTGCAGGATCAGAGGATGAAAACTGCCATCTCCATCTTATGAGTACAGGACAGAGGCTCTGGGAGATCAGCAGTGTGTGCTAGGGCTGAGTCACGAGTATTGAAGTCACAGCTGACTCCTCCGTAAATCCAAGGTCTTTCCCAACATGTAAGAGAAGTAAAAGTACCAGTATCCCTGGCACATCTGCTTACAAATGGCCAAATCTTCCTGTCAAGGGAACTGAACCCTAGGGACAGGGCAAAGTGGCTTTAAAAAGCAGGGGTTGGCATGTGCCATCGGTTGATAGGCTTTAATAGAACCCATTCTGTTATTCAGGAAAGGAGAACACATTTCTGACCCATCAGAGGCCCTGGGTAAAGAAAGAAATGTTTTCTAGGATACCCAGGTGACTCATGGAGCGGTCAGATGTTCCCTGGGATGCTCTGGACCGGGGTTTCCCAGAAGGATGTCTGACCTGCTCAAAGGCAATGGCCCTGAATGGGGGAGCCAGGCTGCCTAAAAACCTCCTCCAGGAAGAGAAGGTCAAAGCCTGGCCCAAGCTGGCTGACACTGTCCTGGATTTTCCTTGGAGGGCAGGTGTGTGGTACTTGGCCCATCCCTTGGTGCTCATCCCCTGGGTCCTCTTGATCTCTCTTCCTGCAAGTTTTTTTAAATCATGATACTCCAAGAACATGAGCCTTTTCTCCACTCTGATGGAATGGATAAGCTGTCATTCCTAATAATCTTTCAGGGCCACTCCTTCCTCCCCTGCCCCTTCTTTGCCCTCCATACAAGTGCGTGCACACATACACAAAGCCTGTTGCAGAACTGCCTTCCTCAGATGCTGTCTGATCACAGACTCAGGTGGGGGTGATGTGTCTCCTTGGCCAGGTGGGTGGTAGACATCTGATGTGCTAGGAAGTCACCTTGCCCACAGTCACAGAGAACATGAAATTAGGGATGAAGGCAAAAGGAGGGGATGGGCGAAAATGGGGAGGGGAATGGAGAGGCTTTGAAAACTGGAAAAAGGAGTTGCTTAAAAGCCAGAGGGGGGTCTATTCTAGAGCAATTCCCACAAAATAGGACAGACTGATTGTTCTTTGTCCAGTTTGCTTAATGGGCCCAATACCATTCCAGGTGGTCTCTCTTTTTCCATGGGGCCTCCCTGGAGAGAGCCCTTAGCAAGATAAAATGGCAATGTTATTCTTGGGCTAAAGAATCATGTGCTGCAAGGATACTTTTTAATAAAAGAAATTATATCTTTAGCAACCACCCTTAAGGCACTAAAGGTCAAAGATGGTTGAGGAACTGTCATCAGAAGTATCATAATGTCTTATTTCTAAAATTCATCAAAATGCCTCATCGTAAAGAAAAATCATTTTAACAAGAAATGCAAATCTCCACCAGCTTCAACATCTTGAAGGCTAAAGGTAAAAATGCCAGTCCCTGCACTTGGAATTGGGAACTTGAAAGAAAAACTGGCCTTTTCTGGTTCCGATGTAAAGACAGTATCACATCTAGATTTGAAGTTTCACCAGCTACTAAGGATACCTGGAAATATCTTTAAATGTCAACAATTTGGGGGGAAGTTCATGGAAAAAGTTTGCCATAAATATTTCAATGGTGACTTTATGACTATGGGTAACAAGTGCTGGAGATCAGCTGCTTGACTTTATCAGGCGAGCAATATGGGAAAAGGTAGGAAGGGACTAGGGAGAGAGAACTAACATTTTTAATGCCTACTAAGTGGCAAACACTTCCCTTTACTTCTTATTTAATCTTTTCAATGACCACACGAAGCAAGAACTATCATCGCCTCTTTTGCAAAGCCAAAAACGGAGGCTTGGAGAAGTTAATCAATGCCATACAGCTTGTTTGGTGGCAGGTCCTGCTCAGGAGGCCATATTCTTTCCACTGCTGTATGATGTGGTCAGGGAACGTGTGGCTCCCCATGACTTCTACCCTGAGATATTCAGAAAGAGGAACTGGCTTCCCCTTGCACAGTTCATGTAAGTTTCATTTATATCCTAACTTGTGGTTGATCTTGGCTGACCATTGGTGGACATAGAAGCCAGGTCTGACAGCTGCTGCATCTTCTTCTTCTTTTTTTGTTTTGTTTTTTTTTAAAGAAAAGGGATGTAAGAAAAAAATGAGAAGACAGCAAGACACTCAGAAACCAGACCCTTTTCCCCAGATCGCAAAGAAAAGCAAGTTCCCACTGGGGTCAAGAACAGGATCTACGGGGCTGTATCTGATAAATGGCAACTCACCTGGTGCTTCACTGCTTATTAAACCACAAGGTCTGAGAGTTAGAATGAATCTTATTGGAACCATCCCTTAAAGAGATAAATCAACCCCAAAGTGTTCCAGACCTATAAATAAAATTTGAATTGGTTAAAAAGCAGCTTGGTACATCTCCTCTCCGAGCACAAATCTCTGGGTTTCAGCCGTCTTTGGCTCCTCTCTGCTCCATGATGAAGCCATATCATTCTAGACTCAGTCTGGGTATAAGCCACCAGAGTCCCCTCCTCCTCTCTCTTTCTTCAGGAGGACGGTAAGTGTCAGGCAGGGGCTCCTCGCTTCCCACTACAGTCTTCACATATATGTGGGCTTCTTGTGCTCCTATTGTATTCTCATCAGTGGGTGACCTCCTAGGATTCTTGAGAGAACAGAGATTAAAAAAATAAAAATACACTAGAGGCTTCTGCTTCTGACCAAGATGGAGTAACAGCAGCTATATGTATTTACCCTCCCACATGAAACAAACCCAAATCAGATAAAACATTTAAAATGATAGTATTCAAGACATTGGACATCAGATGAGGAAATACAGTAACCCTCGAGGGACAGAAAACAGAAAAGAAGGGTCTGTAATTGCCTGAACTTACTGCCATGGGAGGCTCTTAGGTCACTCAACACTTTTGCTTATTGTTAGCATAGTGTCTCTTTTTCCGACCTTTAACTTTTAATCTGTCCCAGTCTGTGTATTTAAAGTTGGGTTTTGTGGACATCTTATAGTTGGATCTTTGTTTTTATAGACAATCTAATATCTCTGCCTTTTAACTGAGGATATTTAGATAATTTACATTTAATGGGATTATTGGTATGGTTGGGGTTAAATCTATCATCTTGCTATTGGTTTTCTTTTCTTTTTTTAATATTTTATTATTTTTTAGTTGTAGTTGGACACAATACCTCCATTTCATTTATTTATTTTTATGTGGTGCTGAGGATGGAACCAAGGGCCCCACACATGAGAGGCGAGTGCTCTACCGCTGAGCCACAATCCCAGCCTCTTGCTATTGGTTTTCTATTGGTTTTATCTGTTCATGATTTCTTTTAAAATATTTTTTCTGCCTATTTCATATAGATTGTAGAAGAACTTTAATTAATTTCATGAAAAAAATCTACTAGGATTAAATTAAATTACGTTTATTATCTAGGTAATAAAGTAACCATAAATTTGTGGTGTTTGACATCTTTGTGCCACTGATTTTCCTACCCAGGAGCATGGTATATACCTGCATTATTCAGGTATTAGTGTCTTTTACTAAATTTTTATTATTTTCCATGAAAGGATTACATATTTTTGTTACATTTATTCTTCAGCATTCTATATATTTTTATTACCACTGTAAAGTGATAATTCATAAAATTACTTTTTTCTAATTGTTGCTGATCTCGAGAAATGCACATTACTTTGTACATTGATTTTTGTATCCACTGAACTTGTTCAAATATCTTGTTAATTCTAATAATTTATGTTTAGATTATTTGGCTTTTCTTTTTTCTTTTGAGAGAGAGAGAGAGAGAGAGAGAGAGAGAGAGAGAGAATTTTAACATTTATTTTTTAGTTTTCGGCGGACACAACATCTTTGTTTGTATGTGGTGCTGAGGATCGAACCCGGGCCGCATGCATGCCAGGCAAGCGTGCTACCGCTTGAGCCACATCCCCAGCCCTTATTTGGCTTTTCTATGTAGACAAACATATAATCTGCAAATAATGCCAATTTTGTTTCTTCCTATTTAGTCTTATGTTTTCTGTTTTTTTCCCTAGCCTACAGTATCGACTAGGACCTAAAGTGCAATATTGGATAGAAGTGATGAGCATTCTTGATTTATATCTGGTAATCACAGAAAAAGAAAAGAATACTTTCAAAATTTTGTGCTTAGGTATGATTTTTGTGTAATTATTAAAATGATGTTATTTTGCAAGTTAAGAAGTTTCTACTCTGGTTTTCTAAAAGTTCATATCAGAAGGGATTGTTGAGTTTGTTTCAAACTCTCTTCTCCCAATGAGGTGGTCACACAATATTTCTCTTTCAATTTGTCAGTGAAATAGATGATATGAAATTAATTTTCTAATAATAAATTTACTTGAATTCCAATAAAAATGCATAAAGAACCTCCTTTGTGCTTGAGCTTCATTTGGCCGCATCCCTTCCATTTGCTCATGTGTACTTTGTGCATTAGCTTGCTTACTACTGTATTAGTCATTTATAGAGATTATAATAAAAATTCTTACCTCAGCTATCTTGGGATTGTCATAGATTTCTGAAATTTCACATGGTCTCTCACTTTCCTAAATTGGTTAAAAAAAAAAAAAAGTGAAGAGTCACAAGTTTTGACCATAACCACAGATTAGACTCAGTGGTCCCTAAACCTGAATGCATATTAGAACCACTAGAAAACTTTAAAAACAAAACAAATACATAATAAAAATGATACCTCCCTTAAAAAACTGAAGAAATGTCACTATGAGTTATTTAAAAATAATCCAGAATTATCGGGTGTGGAGAGAGAAAACAAGACTGGCCATGAGTTGATAATTGGATTCACTGTACTATTTTACTCTAGTATATGTACAATAATCCCTCTTTGTCCAAGATTTTGCTTTCCATAGTTTTAGTCACTATGACACAACAGGGCCCAAAAAATGTTAATGAAAACTTCCTAAAACAATCTAAATTTTAAATTTCTATTTTGAGCAGCATAATGAAGTCTTGGGCCATCCTGCTTTCTCCCACCTGGAAAGTAATCATCCAATCCCTTTATCCAGTGTATCCATGCTGTATATGTTACCCACCCCATGCAATTAAGAGACCACATTCACAAAACATTAATTACAACATATTATCATAATTTTTCTATTTTGTTATTAGTTATTGTTAATCTCTTACTCTAATTTATAAATCAAACTTTTTCATAGGTATATATGCATAATGTATATATGAATATGTAGGGTTCAGGATTATCCACAGTATCAAGCATCTACTGTGGAGTCTTAGAATGTATCATTCTAAGACTGGGAGCCTACTGTGTCCATAATAAAAATATCATTCTAAGGGTGGAGAGCACTACTGTGTCCATAATAAAAATATCTATTTTTTAAAGGGTCAATGCCACAGCTCTATTGTCCAGAAATTCTGACTTAATTTGTTTTGGTGAATGGTAATTTTAAAGTGCACTGAAGGGTGAGAAACCATTACTTAAATAAATAATACCACCGTCACCTAGTACTTCCTACTGTGTTTAAAGTTCACATCTTGTCAACACACCTTTACATGTGATATACAGATGCTCACCATCCAAGGTGTCATTTTGTTCTTATGATTTCGTCTACTCCTTAGACTAGGATGGGTAGGGTTTGTTTTTTTTTTTTCCTGGCATTGAGGACTGAATCCAGGGCCTTGCACATGCTTGCCAAGTGCTCTACCACTGAGCTATATCCCCAGCTCAGGGAGGTAATTTTTATCCTGATTTTGAATTGAACCAATCAAAGCATAGAAAATATCACTGGTCTAGGATCATAGAAATCATAGGGTGGCAGAGCCGGGATAAGAACCAAGGTTTTCTATCTCCCCGTTAGTGCTTACTTAGCACTGTGAAAACAACCAGGGATGTTTATAAACAGGGTAGAATTAGAAGCGAGAGTCTATGTGATCACAACCAGGGAAGCTTGCTGGGTATCAGTCTGGGCGGCCTTTGAATTCTGCGCAATCTGGCACTCGGGCGTGGGAGGCAGATGTGCATGCTCTTGTAAACTGTGCACAGACTAGGAAACGGGCAGGTCTGTCTTGGCCTCATCCCGACCAATGATACCTCGGCACTGCTCTTCCCCGTCTTTCCTCACCTCACCTCCGTCCTCACCTTGTGAAGCTTGTGCCCTTTTTGCCCCTCCACTTGGAAAACAGACCCACCGTACAGACACATTTGCCAAGGCAGCAAACACCCCCTCCCCAGCTCTGGAGGACACCTCATACATCCCCAAGGCCAGTGACTTCCTCAAGGGGCCTGAGAGTTGTGGGCTACTCAGCTCTGCCGGAGCACAGCGTCAGGTCTGAAGTGGGAATTGTGGCACAGCCACTCCCATCACCATGGCCTCAGGGAGCAACACTGGCTGTGGATTCTCATGCTTTTAGCCTAAAAGCAAGTTCACTGAAATACTGATTCCTGCAGCACGTCCAGACCCAAAGAATCTGGTCATCACCTCAGCGGACTCATGGCTGCTTCTTCGTCTTCTCTGGTGAATCAAAGTAAGTAGTAAGGCCACCAGCAGGGCTGCAGCCACCAGGGACGGGATGCCCGCAGCTAACCCAAGAGAAGGCCCACAGTCCTGGCACAGAGAGAGAAACATGGTCAGGGAAGCCCCGAATCTTCAAGATGGAAGGAATAATTCAGCAGATCAAAAATAAAACCAAGGGCTGGGGCTGGGGCTCAGTGGTAGAGTGCTTGCCTAGTACGTGTGAGGCACTGGGTTTGATCCTCAGCACCACATAAAAATCAGTGAATTAAAAAAGGCATCGTGTCCATCTATAATTAAAAAATATGTAAATGAATGAATGAATAAACAAACAAATAAAACAAAAAGCTGGTCATGGTGGCACATGCCTGTAATCAAGGAGGCTGAGACAGGAGGATCACTAGTTCAAAGTCAGCCTCAGCTAAAGCGAGGCTCTAAGCAACTCAGTGAGAACCTGTCTCTAAATAAAACACAAAATTTTAGGTCTGGAGATGTGGCTCAGTGGTCAAGTGCCCCTGAGTTCAATCCCTGGTACCCAAAAAATTAAATTAAAAAAAAGGCTGCATGTATCATATACAAAATCAGAAGAGTAATGAAACATTATTTTTTTAAGAAGTTTGTACCCTGCATGACAAGGGACTTGCTTTCATAGGACTTGATTTACTTAGTTTAAATCAGTTGCAAGAAGAGTAATCTATGGGCTGGGGTTGTAGCTCAGTGGTAGAGTGCTCACCTCGCATGTGGAAGGCACTGGGTTCAATCCTCAGCACCACATTAAAAAAATAAAATAAAGGCACTGTGTCCATCTACAACTAAAAAGAATTTTTTTAAGAGGGGTAACCTAGAAGAGAATGGACAACTGATCTAAACAAGAGTTTCTGTGAAAAGAAACACAAGTGTCTCCACGTAGGAAAAGCTGAGGTGCCACACAGAGCAACAATTAGACACCACATTCACCTATGAGTCTGGCAAAAAGCAAAAGCTTTTATTATGTCCCACACCATTTTGGTGTGACTTTTCAAATGTATTTATCTTAAATGCATTAGCCAGTTTTCAAATGTCCACTTCATCTGAGTGGAAAGTCGTGCTTGTAGCCACATGACTTTTTGGATTTGCAGACTTGTTTCTGGAAATACTGAAGACAATCAACAGAATCCTTATTAATGTGCTGCTTAATGAAAGTCTAGGTTCTCCTTCACTTTCTGAGGGGTATGATTCTATTATAGAACAATTAAGTATAAAATCATAAATACACAGGTTGATGAGTTTTCAATGAAGAACATACTCATATAACCAACATTCACACCAAGAAACAATCCTGCCAGGGCCCCAGGAGCCCCCCATATTCCCTTCATCTCCCCACATGTGAGCACTAAAATACTGAAATTTATCACCATAGATGATTTTGCCTGTTTTCAACATTGTATAGATGCAAATGTAAGGTGTGTGGTCTTTCATGTCCGGCTTCTTTTGCTCAACACTTTGTGAAATCCACCTGTGATTGTGTAGGTTCTCCCTCACTCTTTTTATTTTTTATGTTTTATTTATAGATGACAGTGGAATGCATTACAATTCTTATTGCACAAATAGAGCTCTCCCTCACTCTTGAGCTTAGAGGGTCCTAAGAATAATGGTTGAGCCAGGGTCTGGGCTTGGTGACTGTTCACATGCCAAACATTAATCCTCAAAACAAATGCACGATATGGATAGAGCATTCTTATCCCCATTTTATAAATGACCAAGCCAAGTCTGGATAATTTAAGAGTATACTTACTGCTTCTTTCCCACCTGTAACAACCGGAGAGGAAGTCTGTGTGAAACCAGAACATATTGTCAGAAAACAGTAATCGATAGACTACACCATGCATAACAGTCTGGGGAAGCTAAAATGGTGAAGCACACTCCTTCTCTAAGTGGTCAACAACCACCACTACCAAACAGAACCTCCCTTGACTGCTTCCCAGGTAAGAACTGAAATGAAATTTGGCTACAAAGAGGAAGAATTCAGCAATTTAGGTGGTGTCTTTATTATTCACCCTGTGGATCTGCCATGGCACATTTTCACCTCAAAAAGTTTTCTCCTGTCTCTGGTCCCCATGGCCTTCCCTGGACTCTCAGCACAGCTTTGGCCTACTTGTCCCCAGATTTAGAGGGGAAGTGAGTATAAACATTCAACATTGGCGGAAGCGAGGCTCTTTAGGAAGGACTGACTTTGTTCTTGAACTGTAATGACACAAATGGCTGAGCCTGCAAATGGCCCCTACTCCTGCGGACAAGTCCATGTTGAATGAATATGTCACATGTTTCTGGTTCATTGCCACTTCACGGGGGAGCGTGCTGGATCTCATCCACTTCTGAGCTGCTTCAGACAAGAGTCTTGCCTTGATCAATAAATCTCAGGGAACAAAGGTCTACCTGAGCAACTCAACCTGCGACTATACTGTGTGTTTTCAGGTGGGATTAAGAGCACAGGTCTGGGATCCCCGTGATCTCCACTCAAGCTCCACGGCCTCGTTTCTCCCTCTATAAAACAGGGACAGTGCTAGCTACCTCTAGGGTTGTTCCAGGGATCACAGGGGTACCAGAAGTTTGAGCTTTTGTCTATCTCTTAAGCTTTGCAAAGCTCTGCTCAGATCTGTTCTTTATTTAATCCTCTCAACAGTCTCAATGGGTACAATGGAGATCTGGGGATTTTCAATAGCTATTATCTCCAATTTACAAAAAAAAAAAATGAAACAGAGAAATTATGGGACTTGCCAAAGGCTCCACAGATAATCATAAATCTAATCTGAACATGGATGTTTGAATTCCAAGCTCAGGCCTCTTTCCCAGGGAGCCCACCTTAGAGGGGGAATTTGATAACCAGGAATGGATACTTGGTACTTAAGTGATTACACTTCTGTCTGAACACACTCTTCCCACTCCCATATTGCACTAACCCTGCATCTGCCTAAGGCATTTCATTTCTAAAGGTGGTCAGAAAAGTCAGCCATCGTTTCAGGTAGACATCTACCTTCTGATTACAGAAATCTACTTGGGGTGGCTTTAGCAATAAAAAAGGGGGGCAGGTTTAAATAAGGATGCAGAAGTGCCTTGTGAAGCCCCAGTTGGCTTCTTCAGAGACTGAACTTGTCAGATGAACCCACCCCTCTCTACCTCTCCTAGTAGTATGGCCTCTGGCCTGTGCCCTTCTTGGCCTGTTTGCTTTCTCTGTCTTTCTCCAGATGGAATTTTCTGCTCTTATGCATACCTGATAATTGCCAGGCTGTCAAACACTTTTCCATGTTGATTAATTTATTCTTCACAACAGTTAGTGAGGCAAGATCATAACAATCCCGTTTTACAGAAGAGGCAACTGAGGCACAGAGAAATGAAGCAACTTGTGTGAAGTCACAAAACACTAGGGGATAGACTCAGGTGGTTTGGTTCTAGGACCCTTGCTGGTGCTACCCTGCCTCCAAGGTAAAATGTAACACTCCAACCCAGTTTTTCATACCTGAGAGTTCAGAATGGCATCAGAGTCTGACTTGCCTATGCAGCCCTGTTTCAAACTCCCCATGGAGAAGTTCTGATCAGGTAACCACCTCCCCCACTTCCTCGTGCACTGGCATTCCCAGCACCAAAGAGAAACATCACTGCTGTAGGATGACCTACTGCCCTGGCTTTCCAGAGGCTGCCTGGGATGCAGGTCACTTGGTGCGAAAGCTGATGGTCTTATAGACCAGTGAGCTCTTAACCAAGAAGCTTCTCCAGAAGGTGAAGGCTGTCACCCTAAAGGCCTTTGTCTTCCCCAACTCACCCCTACTGAACCAAGCAAAGGCTTCCCTACAATATCCCACCGATGGGTCAAGCCAGGATAAGGCAAAACCTGGAGCTTCTCTAGACCTGCTGGGTCCCAGCAGCCAGGGGGAAAGTTGTAGGAGTGACCAAGATTTCTACAGGTAAAGGGAGGGATGGAGAAACCTGTCCACCTACAACAGGCAGAGGCCGAAGCACTGAGGCAGGGCAGGTCAAGGCTCAGAAAAAAGGGACCCCCACCCAGGAGGGGGCAGTCAGCCGGACACAGACTGGTGGGCACCAGAAGTTCAGCAGTAAGTTATCACGGTCCAACCATCTGCCACTCCGTAGAGCTACGCCCCCATGTTACAGCCCAAATGAGTACCATCTTAGAAGTCCTCTTTGAATAACCACCTAACTCATCAGAAAATCTTGGCACAGTCAAACCACTAAAAAACTGGGCCTGGAAGATGCCTCAGTCGATCATGGCACAGTGCTGATCAGAAAACAAGCCTGGCTGTTAGTGTCACCCCTGCACTGCACGAGGACAGAAGCCAGGAGATCAACTGTAGATTGAAACTGTCCACCTTCAACAATCAAAAAAACCCTCTATTTTGACTTACAACTAAGTGTCATGATCAAGAGCCTGAGCATGTTCATTACGGACCTAAACATTCTTCTTCCAGAATACATACTGAGGAAATCATCTTAAATGCAGACAAGCATATAATGATGCTAATCACCAAATCACTCCCAATTTATGAAATACTTTACTTGAAGAAATAATATATGCCTACCCTCAATTATAGTTGTGAAGACTGACAGAAAACATTTAAAGACGTAATATTATATGGTGAGTAAGAACACACTAGTACAAAGACAACAAAAGTCAAAATGTAGGTGAAGTCCCTAAAGAGTGGGAAAGGGTCACACCCACGGGTTCTGTTGATTAGAATTAAGGGTGGGAGGAGGTTTCTATTATAATTTCTGTATTGAAAACATTGCTCTCAGCACCCCTCAGCTGTTCTCCAGTGCCTCTGACTAACTCATCCCTCTACACAAGGTACGTGGGAGGAGTTTTGGAGCTCCCTGTATCAATTCAGCCTTGACCTTCGCTGTGTTTGAAGATTGGTGAACAGGGGGGCTGTACTTACTGTGTTAGCCGGCAGTGTGAAGTTAAGTGAAAAACTCTGCAAGAGAGAAGAAATATTAACCCTGGCAGGAACCATCAGCAAGCTCCTGACTCCTCAAGCTCCCCACCGCTGGTGGACTCCCCAAGAATGTATGGATTCCATACAGCAGCTCGGGAGCCCCAGAGGCAGGAGGGGAGCAGGGGAGCTGAGGTCAACAGGAACCCTTCCCTCAGATTGTCAGTCTCCCCACCCCTACTCCTCTAGGTTGCCAACCAGATTAGGGGACCAGCCAGGGAGGATCTGGCCCAGGATCCCTGATCCACGAGGGCAGTAGTAACATCACTCGAAATTCAGAAAGGTGCTGCAATTTGTTCCCCAAGAATTTCTTTCAGGGAAAGAACTATGGGAATTTAGAGCAGAAGATAAGCCCCCAAAAGGCATGTTCTAACACCTGATCCTAAACCACCGTCCCTGGAGAGTTAACTGAGAAAGACCGGCTTTCATTTTGCCAAGACAAGGGAGAGGTTCTGGGCTGTGGAGCCGAACTGGTCAGGACAGCAGAGGAGAAGCTCACCCCCCTTCACCCCCACCCCCACTCAGCACCCAGTCTCACCCATCCCCATGTGTGGAATCAGTGTTTAAAGATTGCAAGCTCAGGGGGCACTAAATACCCTGCCCCGGTGCCCACTTATCTGGGTCAGGCTCTGCTCAAGCTACCCGTGGCTCCTTTCTCCTCCCTGTCCCCATTCTGTCACTTAGTTTGGGCTCATTGGTGTGTCTTCCAGGCTGCTCTTTACCAAGTCCCTTCCTGTCTGACAATGGGTGGACCCTGCTCTGACTCAACAGATGACACTTTCTGGCCCTGGTTGCCCTGGGCTGCAGAGGCCTTGTTTCACTTTCTGGAATTTCCGTCCCCTGAGTCTTGCTATCTGATTAACGACCCCATGGCCGGGCCTCCTTCAGCCCCAGCCTCCCTGTCCACCAGGGCTCAGCCTGCGCTCCAGTTCTTGATCTACTGTAGTCCCCCAAGAATAGGTTCTCTCATTCTAAGAACAACACATTTGCTAAGTTTTAACATTAAATGTTATCCAAAAATAGAAATATTGTGAAATATTAAAGAATCCCAAAGGATCCTAATATTTTGGACCCAAAGTGCCTCAAAGGACATTTTATATCTCATAACCCCATTTTATAGAAGAGACTGAGACCCAGGGGCTCATTAGAAATTATCTTATAGAAAAATGAGAACAGTTAGAGCTTCACTCTGAAAACAGGCCAGTGAGCTTGGTCCATGTGACCCTGATCTGAACTGAGAGATGGTTAGAGCAGATAGTCCCCCCAGCAAAACTCATTTTGGCTAATAGGTGGGTTCAGATGAATTACTGAATGTGAATCAAAATCATCTTCTGTGAATCAAAAGTGTTTTGAGCACCCACAACATATACTCTCTCTTGCTCAGCCTCCAACATTGTCCTTCAATTAAGATGGTCTCATCCAAGGCTGGGGTTGTGGCTCAGTGCCTAGCATGTTTAAGGCACTGGGCTCCATCCTCAGCACCACATATAAATAAATAAATAATGGATAGATAGATAAATAAATAAAGGTATTGTGTCCATCTATATCTAAAAAAATAGTTAAACAACCAACCAAACAAAAAAAGCTCAAGTGCTTCAGTGGCCACTCTGCCCACTGCTCTGTCTCTTAGCAACAGGGGACCTTCATGCTACAGAGAAGGAAATCAAGGCTCAAGAATGTAATGGGTTGCCTGAGACTACACAACTCATCAGCTGCTACCAGAACCAGGGTCTTCCACCACACAGCTTCCCGATAACTCCCGTGGTTTCTGCAGATGAACGGCAGGCACTATAGACCTCTTCTTCTGGGACACCCTTAAAGCAAGGGATCACCTGGGCCTCAGGTCACGAATCTCTGGCTCTGGGGATCTAACCACTGTTCTTCATGCTATCACCAAACGGGCTGGCTACAAGGCATTGAACGCAGCTGCCCCAAGCTGATCTCATCAGTGGGTGCTGGGCTCTGAAGTCAGCAGGCCCAGGACAAAGCTTCCTTTGCGGGGAGGACAGAGGAGGGGAGACAGCAACAAGCAGGCTTTTGCATGTGTTGTTTGTCAACATGTGGATGACGATGATTTTGGCCAATTTCAGAAAGACATTCACATTTTGTAGAAACAGAACAGTGCTCTCATGGAGAGAAAAACATGCTGCAGTGCCCTTTAGAGCTGCAGCTGGGTGGGATGAGGCAACTCTGGACTCAGAGCCACCTGATCGGGTTCAAATCCTGTCTCTGCCACTTAATGGCTATATGATCTTGGATACGTCACTTGGGCCTCCATTCCCTCGCAGCAAATTCATTCTCCCAGCTTTTCCATCCTCAAAATGGGATACTGTTAACTTGCCCTGCCCACTTCACAGTGTAAACATAAGGGATATAATGTCTGTGGCAGCTCCTTCCATGTACTTCCCTGTAGTACATGAGGGATCCTGTGGTGCCATGTTCCTTTAGGCCTGGCCAGCAGAGTTAGGGTGGGGAAGCCCTTCGGGAAATTCTTATTAGATGGAACTGTAAGTATGAAGTTGCAAAATTCAAAGTGCCAGCCCTTCTTGCCTTGTGCTGAGCAGTGTATCCTAGCTACAGGGGGATTCCAAAGGAGGATGCTGTCCTTCACTAGGAGTTTGCTGCTTGTGAGGGGAAGAGAGGAAGATGAGGCAATCACTCACAGGCATTGAGGGTATGCTGGTGTTGGACACTGCTCTCATAACCTCCCCACGAGGGGAGTACTGTTATCCCTACATCACAGGTGAGGACATTGAGACAAGATGGGTTTCTGGAGGTCGCCTGCTTGTAGGCAATAGATCAGGTTAGACTACAGGTCTTCCTAACTCTAAGTCTAAATTTAACTCCTCCGAATAATCCCCCATCCTTGTTTTTAGATTCTACAAAAGTGAGATCATGTGGTGTTTTTCTTTTTTGTGTCTGGCTTATTTCCTTTAGCGTAATGTTCAGGGCCAATCTGGTTGTGGCCAATAGCAGGATCTCCTCCTTTTTAGATGGATGGAGAGTCCCGTGTAAGGAAGTAGCAGCTTGAGCTAAAGCTGACCCAAAGATCTCCTCCTTCTTAAAGGCTGAATAATATTCCGTTCTAGACACACACACACACACACACACACACACACGTGCACACACACCAGTTTCTTCAGCCATTCATCTGTTGACAGACACCCAGGTTGTTTCCATAATTCTTCAGTAAAGAAATCAAAGACCTCTTCTGTTTTCTCTCCCAACTTAGCAAACTTCACTTGATTCAACCAAATTCCTATCATAAATCAATAAGAAAGGTGGGAAGCTTCAGATGGAACTTAGGAACACACATGTTGCTGATAACATAGCAGAGGGAGGACAGAACAAACAAGAAAGATAAAATCATTGATGAGACCCCTGGCTTCCCCAGGAAGGAAACAGAGCTGAGACATCCACTCCCCATCCTTGTAAGAAATAAATAAAAATAAATAAATAAAAATATCAACCTTAAAGATGAGATCAGCTATTGTTAGATAAGAATGTTGGGGAATAATTAGTATTTCATAGATAGGAAAAATAATTAAAACCCAAGCCCTTCATTGTGCTGAGGGTTCAGTTATAGTTGATTGAATTAGGAGACCAGCACCTTAAGGCCTGAGAATTAGTTTTTATGGAGAGAAAGGAAGGTTAGGCTAAGAGGCCAGCACCCACTCACCATTGCCGATAGCCTCCCAGGATCCTCTCCAAACACTGGCCTTACTGCCTCGGGTCTCCCATCTGTAGGAACATCCAGCTGGGAGTGCTGGGGAGGCAGGGCGAGGTGGCTCCAAGAGAGCCGGGGCCACGCCATTTATGGGCAGGGGAGTAGCCAAGCCCTCGGCCCGTCCCTTGGGAAAGATGGGCTCCTGTTCCCTGGCCACTATCAATGGCCGGGGCCCTCCATCCTCTTTGTCTTTATTTTCTGTTCTTCTTACTATCCAGGCAGCTTCTTCAATCTCAGCAAAGACACCACAGCTGGCCTGAGAGCTTGGTGGCTCCTGCAGCTGCCAGCTCTTTAGAAACAATGGGTGACACGGGCTGAGGCTGGCCGCTCTGTCCCCAGCTGACAGGCATCTGCATGGACCATGTTCCTGGCCATGAGGGAGTCCCGTGCTACCAGCCTGAGCTGAGGACGCCTGCGGGGTGGGTGCTGGAGCCACCCTGAGGCAGGCCTGTGGCTGCCAGTGAAGGACACACTCAGTCATCAGTGAGTTTGGCTTCTTGGCCTCCTGTCCTCACATTTCCCAGTGGGACCCCCCTCTAGTTGAGGAAGCTGTGGATTCAGGTGGATTTCAGTAGCCCTGAATTTGCTTCCTTAAGATGGTGAGTGAGTTGCCAACAAAACCAGAATTGCAACCAATGGTCAACCAACGGGTCACTTAAATGGAAACCACCCTGTGAGGAGCAAAGAGGGGCGTAAGGAGAGAGCAAGTGAAGTGACCCGCGGTCATAGCTTTAGACAACTCTGGAGATGACCTTCAAGTTGCACATGGAAAATGAGAAGAGGCCTACACGTGAGGGCTGAGGGGAGCCCCAGGCACGGGGCACAGCAAAGGCAAAGCTCCACGGTCTCCATGTGTCACGGAAGGGGAAGTAGGCCAGCGCAGCCAACAGAAACCTCGGAGCAACCTGGAAAGAGGGTAAGGGCAAATGAGTGAGCCTGAGGCCCAAGGACTAGACATGGCGGGGTGCGGGGGAGGATTTTTATTCTGAGGGCAGCAGGAAGCTTCATGTGAGGGTTTCATGTGAGCGCATGAACCCAGTGATACCAACAAAGCTCACCCTGGCTTCTCCTTGGAGCATGGATCACAGGGACAAGAGTGGAAGCAGGAGACTGGCTGGAATGGGCTTGTGAGCTGTTTTGGAGGTTAAGGCAGCGAGAGCTGATGATGGGGAAATCTGAGGCAGGGGAGGAGAGAATGTGAGGGAAAGGGCAGAACAAAGCCAGCTCCCGGGCTTGGGGCTTGACTGATGGGGCTCGAGGCACAGTTTGCTTAGGGTCGTGCTACTGGGAAAGCAGATTTGGATGGGGGAACCCAAGCTCCACATCGGGTGCTATAACCTCAGTAGTTCTGAGGCAGCCAGGTGGGGGTGCTGACTGGGCGATGAGATAAAGGGGGTCTGGGACTGAAGATGTCCATTTGGTGGTGGCCTGTGGATGGGTTTAAAGCTGCAGGTGGGCAGAGCAGAGGACCAGAATAGAGACCCAGGGCTGCGGACATTTTAGGGGCCTGGTAGAGGAGGCATAGTCAGCAAGAAAGGCTGCATGAGAGGAAAATCCGAGGTCTGGGGTCACAGAAAATGCCTGTTTCAAGAAGAGGGGGTGGCAGCTGACTGTACCAGTCGCTGCCTAGGAAAGGTTGGAGCAGCCATCTGCTTCTCAGTTGGTGGCTGCTAGTGACTCTGAGGAGGACGATTAGTGGCATGATGGAGGGGACCAGGTTATCTTGGAACTAGGTGGGTTTTCCATCCTGGTTACACACCTGAATCACCCGGGAGGCTTATAAAAACCCTGGTTCCTGGGTCCGACTTCAGAGACTAATTGAAATGCCCAGAATGAAATAAGGGCATCCTCAGGGGACACAATGAACAGTCAGGGCTCAGTCACCTCTGAGGGGCCAGGCATGGGACACAGTATTGAACAAGAGCAATGTGGTCTCTGCCTCAGGGTCCTTCCAGTTCCCAGGACCAAAGTGACCATCTAAGCTGAATCTGATGGTACCCGCAAGACAGAGAATACAGTAGGACCTGCATTTAAGGCCATGGAGACCCTACTGGCTGGTGGCTGTCTGCTCGTAGGCAGTTGGCAGCCTCAGTCTCTTAATCTGTAAAGTGGGGATGTTTCCAATGACTACACCATTTGAATCAGTGCAACTGGCGCCAATTATGCTTCTATCACATGCAGATTCAAACCTGTGCCGAAGAACTGAAGTTTCAGGCCCAATACCCTCTGGCCAGGCTGGGGATGTGCAAGGCTAAGGGGCAAGTGTGAGAGCTGCCTGCTTTGCTTTGCTTGTGCTTTTCTGAGTCCAGTAGGGAACTGTGTTCTGGGCTATGTGCTTGACACTCACCAGGGGATAGAAGGCTCTAGAGAAAGCCCCCTGCCACACCCTGCCCGAGTGCTGGTGGTTGGTTGTGGAGAAAATGATCATGAAGAGAACCCATTCTGTCTGAACTAGTAACACACAGCGGGACACACCAATAAATCCACATCGTTTAATGAGGCATCCTTCCTAAACAGATGTATGTTAGCTCCCCCCTCCACACACACATTCTCCTTGACATCATTTCCTGAAATGTAAAGTTACTCAAAATAAAAAATACCCATACATTTATAGATAACGCTTTAATTTTTTGTTTTAAAGAAACCTTTTAGGCATCTGGGATTATTTTTCAGAAGTTCAATCTATAAAGAAAAAACTCGAAAACATCTGCCGAAGCCGAGGAAACGTTTGTTCCCAAACTGAGTACTAACAATACCAAGAATTATCAAACAGATCAGGTGGATGGTAAATTCCTATGTGAATCTGCCAGTTAGCCCATATTTAACAAATAATTTAAACAGACTGAGCCATTTGTGGATTCTATGACACTTTTGAGGGAAGTAGTAAAATAGAAATGGAAACTTTAGAGGAAAATAGAGAAAATAGTGAATCAGTACACAGCCTTGCCTCCTCTGTTTGAAGAAATTCTACTGCCTAATGTTAAATCGAGACCCTTCTCCTGCTCTCGGCTGCAGGCCCTGGCTTCTGTGAGCTCTGATTACACTAAAATTAGACCAGGCTGGAGACCCAGATCCCAAACTCCACCAGGTAACTTCGTTTGAAGTTAATTCTCTAGTCTTGAAGTTCTGTGACACCCAAGGCATGGCACCCAGTTAAAGGACAAAGCAAGATGAAGGGTCATCCTCTGGCTCCTTCGTCCACTTCCAGAGACATCTGCAGGCAGGTTGCTGAGCAATTGGAAGAGCCCGTGCAGGGGCCTGGGTCTTTCTGCCTAATGGACTTTACCTTGCGAAGTCAGCCTTGAAGCTCTTTGCAGGACTGTGTCCTGCGTAGATCCCCAAGGGTTCAGGCTTCCAGAGGAGGGCCTGTCCAGCCCCAGCTGAATTAGAGCTTGTCTTCTGGGTCTACGTCACTCACAGGCCTAAATAAAGGTTTTCATAAGGGCCCCATTGTTGTGAATTGGCCACATGGTGACAGTGGTTGGAGTCGTGTATTTTTGGAAACATTCACACTAAAGCAATGAATCATCAGTGTGTCACCAGGGTACCCAATGCTGAAACCAGCCCTGTTTCTCCCTCCCTCCCACATCTCCGTGGAATCTCTTCATCTTACTTAAAACTTCTCAAGGTTAAAAATGCAGAATTCTCATCTCCTTGGAGAGAGACCCTTAGCGTCCTCCTTATGCATTCTGATTTCAGTTTCAACATTGACAGACAAAATGGGACAAAATCAACCTCAGAAGATCCACAGATCTGAGCAGCAGAACCCACCAGAACAGGCAGGAGGGGTCTGAACCGTGAGAATAGGGACTCCATTGGTCACCTCAAAGTTCATCCTGGGCAGGGTCTGCCATCTACCAAGATGTGAGAATGGAGGCTGAAACTCAGTCCAGGGCCAAGGAAAGCCAGAGGAGAGCTTGGTGACAGCAAAACACATAGGGCCAGCACCGGGGCCTGTACAACAAAGCTCCACTAGTGGGTGGGCATTCTTCACACTGTATTGATTAAGGCTTTGACAGCTGATCCTTTACATACTTACATATATACAGACATATATTATTATTATTATTAATAATTTGATTTCTTTCTGTTTTAAGGGAAAAAAAGTATTCCCCTGCACTTCTTTTACTCTTCTTTGTATTATTTGAGTTTTTACTCCCAGCCATCATTTAATGGAACATCATCTTCTGGCGGCATATTCTGATCTTTTAAAAATAGAACCTCTAGCCTTTTACAAATACTGTGTTCAACACGATGATTGATCCCAAAGGAATTCCAGGGCTGGGGAGCGTCTTGGCTCTGAGTGGAAGTACTCTCAGGGGCCGCCCTGTTTTCAACACACCAGCCAAACAGGATTTACTGTCATGTAAACATTATTTTTAAATTATTCCAACATAAATACTCTTTTAAAGCTAACATACCACAGCTTTTAGCTCATAATGCCCATAGATGCCTTAATGAAATGCCATTCAAAACTACATCACTGTTTAAATTATACCTTGAGGTGCTAAAATTATGTAAACATCATCCCCCATACTTCCCTAGAACAAGTGCCGCATGTTGTGAATCCTGATTGCAAGTTGACCGAATGCTAGCGTTCCATTGATCGGATGCTAGTTAATCTGAGAAAAGTCACCAGCACACTCTTGAACCTGTCTGATTACAGGAGATTGGTCACAAGTGGACTTGTTCCACCAGGTGATGATTCCTACATAACAGAATGAACCAGTTTTCCACAGTGTTCACCCGAGAGGGACCTGAACGGGCCCCTCCTGAGATGTCTTTGCACGTCTTGCAGGTGCAGTTTGAACCCGCTGTCAGGGAGTCAAGGTTCACAGCAGAGCATGTTTTCATCGCTGGAGGGTCTTCCAGGCCCAGGGACCTCCCCCAAGCACAGATGGGGATCCTCAAGTCAGTGATCGAGGGACTATCAAAATGAGCCAGGATGTTTTATTCTTGGCAAACTAAGAATTCTCCACAGCAAATGTTCTGCTGGAGTTTAGTGGATGCTATGGTCCCTTAGTGCAATGAGGGATGGAGAAGCCTAGAGAGGGCAGGGAGGGCCATGCCTGAGGTCTTCCACCTTAGCGATGATAATGCTGGTGCTCAGAGCTCTTGTGTGTGCTGCTTGCTGTGATGTCTCTTTTCCCTGGATGTCTACCTTTTCAGGTTTCCTGGTTGACATGTCCCTGGAGGAGAAAAGGCGAAAGTTTCCAGCCAAAGCTGTAACAAGTCGGCCAAGCTTTTATTCTCACTGCTCAGTGTAACCTGCGTCTCCAGGATTTGGTCACATTTCCTGGCACCTATGGAAGCAGGAGGAAGAGGACTGACCATCTCCAGAGCTGGCCTCTGGCCCCCCAGGAGCAAGGGAAGGAGAGCAAGCAGGAAGAAGCACAGCTTGAGTGGACTTCAGGCCTTAATCTCCAGAGGCCCACCACTGACAACACTGTCACTGGAACCAGAGGGACATCTCTCCTCCTTGGCCAAACATGCATGTGGGGCTTCAACCAAATATAGACCTTCAAGACTGGATTTTGAGTTTTTGCTTGAAAAAAATCCTGTACACTGTTTCAGGGCTGATTTGCCAGGTGCTGCTGTTGTAAGAACATTCTCAGTTCCTATCTTTCGAGGACGTGGGCGTTATTTCTTCATGTGCAGGGCATCCTGGAACTTGGTGCTGGTATATCGAGCATGAAAGCCTTTCTTGTTGATGGTGTCATCCGTGTGGAAGCGAATCATCAGGGAATCCCCTGCAGAGTAGATCTCTTCCAGTGGCTAAGAAAAGGAGAAAGGGAAACCAGGGGACCTGAGGTCAGTTGGCTGTGACTGGAGTTTAAACGAGGATGGGACAGGACCATACCCAAGGACACAGGATGGCCAATGCAGCCACGAGGTGTCCCTGGCACTGCAGACAGAGGGCATCCAAATGAGATCCTTTCCAAAGGAAAGCACTGCAAATTCTCCAGAAAGTTCCCTGAGCCCTGCTTTTCCAAACACGCTCCTAGACCCACAGATCACAGAGAACCTGTGGTTTATGAGGTGCACGGGTGGGCCAGGCACTGTGCCCAGCACTTCCAGATCTGACCTCATGGACACTTGCAAGAACTTTATGAGGCAGGTACTCCCTCCATTCACACTGAGGAAACCAAGACTCAAGTGCATACAGGTGGGTAGGACCTGAGCTCAGCTCTTTCTGACTGTGAATTACGTGCCACGCCTCACCCAGTTCTGTCATTTCACCCCTGTGTTTCCCAGGGGACCAAAACCAAGGACCAATCTTTAGGTTATGTCCTGTCCAAGGACAAAATGTGCACTGGAGCTGACTACACCTGTCAGAAAGGTTCTGGCAAGTTCCAAGACTGCCACCTGCCAGGTCCTAGTAGAGCCAAATGGGGCTTCCCACAAAGTGCTGTGCTTGGGACCCGCCAAGGCTCCTCTCCACAGTCGGAAGGACTGTATCCCAGGCAGTACATCCATTCTTTCTTTTTTGTAGGGTGAAGGTAGATGGAGGGAAATTATTGAAAGGCGTAAATACTATGTCAGTTTTCTGTGTACAAGGAGCTCCCGTGATTCCAAAGGCTTTGACATAAGTCCAGCCAATAGCAAAGAAGATTGAGTGATGAGCTCTGGAGGCAGAGAAAAGGGCTGGAGCCCAGTGTGCACAGTGTGCGGTGTGGCAGGGCCAGGGAGCCACCAGGGCATTGTACTGGTTGGCTCACTACATCACTGAGCACAGTACACAGCCAAGCCCTGAGCCCCGTGCTGGGAAAAGAATAAACAAAACAGGCCTGTCCTGGTCCTGGGTTGGTGGCCCAGGAAAGAGACAATCATGAGAAAAGTGACAATGACTTTGAGTATAAGTATTGTTTATAGTAACAGTGATTTCATAAGCATTTGGTTTTGCTTGGGGAGAGAATTATGAGTATAGGGAATACACAGAATCATAATTAAATAGTAAGAAAATCTTGAAAGCCAAATAAAAATGGGAGAGAGGATCCTTTGTAAAAATGGGGCCTAAAAAGCCCAGTGCTCTTCCTTGGACTGACCTCAGTCCAAAGCCTTCATGAACTGGTTCCTGGCTCCCTCCCAACCTCCTCTCCCAGGAGCCTCCTGTTTCCCCCTCCCCTGCAGGAAATATGGGCCTCCTGACTGTTGCCAGAAGGTGTTAGGGACAGTTAGGTCTCAAACCCAGGCCTGTTTCACTCATGCTCCGAATCCCTGGTTTTTGCCCACGGTGCTGACACCCGGGACTCACCCCTGAGCCACAGAAGCGGCCGAGCCTGGGTGCTGAGCTGTCATAGCCGTCGTAGGCCTCCATGTAGTCATAGCCACAGTCGGCCTCCTCCTCCACCTCAAAGGTCCGGAATATCAGCTCCACACCGTAGCCGTCCTCTGCCACTATCACCCAGTCACAGTGGACCTGGCTTGGGTAGTTGTTGTCCCCAAACTGGGCATGGGAATACAGCTCTTTGGTCTGCACTTCGGCCTTCAGCCTGCCGCCACACTCTGCAGCAGAGAGAATGAGATATTGCCTCGGCACCCAGAACCCCGTGCCTGGTGCATCACAGAGGAGTCAACAGAGGCCCAGGACTCCAAGGTCAGGGACCCCTGAGGGGCCAAACTGGCCCTTACAAAACAAGGTTCCATGTTCCCATGCTGGGCCACATAAGGCCTCTGGGAATCCCAGAGCATGGCGCTGAAAAGCTGGCTGTTGTTTTTCTCCCTAAACTTAAGAAGACAGGGGGTAGATGAACGGTGTGCCCCACTGGTCGCTAGGATGTGGGATCTGATTTCAAGTCCTGGAAGTGCCAGCAGCTCAAGATGGGCTCAGCAGCCCCCTAGACTTACTGTCACTTTTCATTTCTGCCAACAGAGGGCGATAAAGGCACATCAGAACTGCAGCTGAGTGCCCAAACCCTGAGACCTCAATCTACTGGACTCGCTCTTGCATTTGAGAGGTTTGACGCGGGTGTCACAGCCACACCTCAGCTTTGGGCTTGGATTCCGTAGCCTTGGCTTCTGTGTTTTACTAGGACAGAAGCCCAGGATGCCCTGGGCCTGTACCATCTTGTATCTAGGCTACTAAAATAAAATGGGTAAATGAGACCAGATGGGGCTAGATCAGAAGCACCTGGAGGCAAATTCCTCCACCCTGCACCTCAAACTGCTGCACCTCCCAGGTGCCGCAGCTCCCCTGGTGTGGATTCCGGCCATTCTGTTCTGAATGCCCAGGCCCGGCTGGAGTTGCACCCCAACCTGGGCCCCACTCTGACTACCAGCTCTTACTGCCATGCTCTGTCTACAATTTCTTCAGAGTCTGGGAAATTTCAAATTCCTGAGATGCAGACAGCAATGACGTGAGCACAGAGCAAGGCAGGAGGCCTCCTTCCTGCCTGTTCCAGGGCCCTAGGGGCTGACTCTAGTCTACCTGCACAGGCCCCTTTACTGCTCTCTCACTTCCAGCTCTGTCCAGCCACGGAGAGCATGGGAAAGTCAGAGGGAGCAGGGAGAGAAGTCAGGTACTACATCCAGGCTCCTCTCTGCCTGTTCCTCCTGTAAGTCACTGCTGGGCTGCAGGGCCTTTGTGCCTGGAGTGATAGAAGTTTTGTGGGTCTGTAGTCCTAGTGACTGCCCTGTCCCTTGCAGTGTCCCCACACCTTGCCCATGCTTTGTAAACAGTCTTTTTATTAAGTTCTTCACAAATAACAACTCTGAATGTGTCTCCATTTCCTGCTGGGTTCCTAACCCTCCTTGAACACCCACATTCCAATTTCCATCTACAGGGACAAGAGGGTAATGTCACTAGTCAGTGGCCTTTCAACTTCGGTGGGGGAAGCCAGAAATCCTCAAGGTGCTGAAGAGAGTCTCACAAACCACCCAGTGTTTTGGGCTAGGCAGGGGCAAGCGAGGCTGCCTGGGGACGCTGGCTGCCATTTTACTTGACCTGATTCCTGTTTTCTACCTCTGAAAAAAGGGGTCACAGGGTCCCATGATCATGACCTCAGACTCAGCATCACACTCAGGTGGCTGAGCAGTTTCAGGTAGCCCTGGGCTCTGCCACAATCTAAGCCAGGATCAAAGAGCCAACACTGCCCCCAGAGTGCTGGTCCCAGGTGACAGCTAACAGAGCAATGGCTAAAGAGCAGAGCCAGTTGACTTACTGACCTTTTTCTACCTAGCAAAGTAAACAAGTCACTAGCATATACATTTTCCCAGGACCCAATATAACTATTGATATCTTGAGGAAAAAATAATGGGGAGCAGAAACATGTTTCATTTTCCTGAATCAGTCCTCAGAGATAAAGAGGGCTGCTCTCACCAGCCAGCTCCCAGACTTGGGTTCTGCAGACCAGAAAAAAAAAAAATCACAAATACATTGTTCAAAGGGAGGAAGGAAGGAAGGAAAGAAATGCTTTCCCTCAAATTTTGTCAGTTAATTAACATCAATAGAAAACCACCCTCTGCCTGTGGTGGCCAATGTTTCCTTTTAACAGGGACATTTTATCACAGCCGCCCTCCCCTCCCCTTCCCCCAAAGAGACACAAGGCAGTCCTTCCCTGTCTTTGTCCCCACTCTCCTCCAGCCAAAGTGCTTATCGCCTGAGGCCCCGTACCTGTGCTGTATGCTGCCTGGAAGCCTTTCCTCTGCACGGAGGCATCTGAATAAAACCTGAGAAACAGGCTGCTTCCCGAAGCCACCACGGGGTCTGGTTTTTTGCTGCCGCAGAACCGGCCAAGGAGGGGGGCCAGGGTGTCGGGCCCATCGTACATCTCCAAGTGGTCATAGGCACATTCCTGGTGCTGCTCGATCTCAAACTCATTGAATGTCTGGGGAAGAAGGAAGAGAAAGTAAGGAAAGGGACTGGTGTTCAGCCGAGGCCAGAGAAAAAGGCGGGAGGTAGTGCCCAGAGGCACCTGTCCAGCCACTGTGCAGAGGCGGGGTCTCCCCTAGGCCTCCATTTTGGTCCCCAAAGCAACCTATGAGTTACCTACACTCTTGCTACTGACCACCCAGAGCTGACTTCTTCCATCCCTTGCTTCATCCTAAGAGCTGGCACCGACTGTGTTCCTGGAGCCAGCAGCTGAGTTCAGAGCTTCACAATATCACCTTATTGAAAGTCCCTTTCTGTCTCATTGTCCCAGATGTGGAATATACATAAAAACTTAAATACATAATTTACAACAAATTATATACCAGGATTATATAAAAACAAGAATATGATTATGTTATAATATAATACTAATTACTATAACAAATAAGCTCCAAATTATAATTTCCAACTTACTTAAAAGCACCTTTGTCAATTTCACTGAAACATTCTCAGAATTGAAAACTCAGAACCTAATGGGTCCTTATAATCCTGTCACGTGTCCAAAATCCCTACTTTTACAGATGAGGAAACTGAGGCAAGGAGATGTCAGCTGACTTGCCCAAGGTCATCCACTGGCAGAGCTTGGCCATGACCCAGAAGCTGTGGCTTTGAAGACCCTGATCCTCAAACTCCGCTCTACAGATGAAACAGGCTGCTCCATGCCAGATCAGAGTGACTATAATTTGTTGGGCATTTTTTCCATGCCAAGTATTTATGAGCATTTTCCCACTTAATTCTGGTGATGCTATAAGAAAAACAGTATGCAGAAGGGGAACCAAGTCTTAGAGAAGCTACCTGGCTTGCCCAATAATGCAACTAGAGACAGAGCTAAACTTGACCCCAGCCAGCCGTCTCTATCCCGCACTCTTAATGATCACATGGTTGTATCACCTCTCTCCTACCTGCACCCCCTAAAAACTATTCCCTGAAGGTATTCAGGGGACCCCTGAACTTCAGTAATACACAGGCTTTGCAGCCCCAGTGCAGGCTGCTTGGGTGCTGAAGAGAGGACCAACTGGCGGGCTGCCTATGGTGTCAAGGACACAGGACAAGGTGAGCAAGGACAGTGTTGGATGAAGTCTTGGACTGAAGGACAAAGCAGGAGTGAGGCCATTAGTTGGGGGAATCTCAATTTAAAACAGGGAGGCTAGGGTAACAGGACAGAGATGAAGGTAGGGAGGGGAAAAGAGAAAGACCCCTCTAACAAACACTTCACCAGGATGGCAAGTACCATGAATGGGAAAAGCTCTCACACCTCAGGAAAAAGGGAGCCTTAGGACAAGGGAGGAGTGGGTAGACACACCAGGCAGGAGAAGGAGAGCAGGGCACCTGGGTGGGCCATGCAATGGGAAGGAGAAGGCAGGCCAAGGAGGTGGGGAGCTCCCCAAAGTCCAAGTCTGCCCTGTCACTGTCCCCATGCAGTGAAACACCAGCTTCCTTGGGAAGCATTCAATTCACATTCTATTAGTAGCAAAAGATGGGATTCCAAGGGAATGTCTTTTTAAAGGAACAGGTGTGTGCAGGCACCTTGGATAAAAGCTTCCGGTTGCGCAGGTTCGCAATCCCATCCCCAGGGGGCGCCAGTCCCTCGGGTTGTCAGGGATGTAGGTTGCCCCTGGGAACATTTTCCAGCAGACAGCAGGACTGTTTTTCTTGCATTGACTCTAACTCGCCCTCACCCAGATTCCAGGCCATTCTGGCTGACCCAGGGCAGCAGCTCCTGGGAGCGCAGCAGAGTAGCATCCCCCGGGCGGGCAGTGCATGCACAGGAGGTGCCTACCCAGGGCGCCCTGCAGTCAGGGGTCCTTTCTGCACCCTGCATACCCCGGCAGCCCATTCTCCTGCCTCTGCTCCTCTTTCGTGGCTCTCATCAGTCAACACCCTCCCAAGTCCCTGTGCCATAGTCTACGGACCACCACGGTCTCTTTTGTTCTCTTCCATTCTCCCTGAATTACGGCTCAGGCAGTCTCGGGGCCAATCTTCCTCATCTCTGCAGAGGACTCATTTTAAAAATGTCTGTCTGTCAGGAGTACAACAAATTCTCTAATACTCCAGGATATGAGAGCCTCTGGGGGCTGAGGAATGAGAATTGGAAGAGAGACTCATTTCTCCTTTGAAACAACTGAGCGTGACTACACATCAGATACTTTAAATAAATGATGCAAGGTTGTTGTTTTTAATTCAAGAAAGAATTCACATAATGCTTCTATTGAAAATTGAAGAAAAATGTAGGTTATAGAAGAAAATGAATAATAATATTCCCTTTGAGAAGACTAAGAAAAAAGACCTTTATTTTCCCATGCATATGTATGCACTGTACGTGCATAGGAAATTTCTGGAGAAATTTGCAAGGAAGGGTTGAGAATGGTCATTTCTAGAGTGCAATGGGATCTGGGGACTTTTGATTTCCCCTTCCCAACCTTACGTACTTATTAATTTTCCTTCTTTCTTTCTTTACCTTGAGAATGAAACATTGTGTAAAAAGTCAAAACTGGAAACACTCAAATCTCCAACAGCACTGCAGATCTGTGTGTTGGGCACCACCTCACCTAGGTGCCCCTGTAAACTAGTACGTTTATAGAGCTGTTCTTCGTTTTCTCTTTTCATCTGCACAACAGCCCCCAGGAAGTGGGGTTCATTAGAATCCCCATTTTCCAGATAGTAAAACCAAGATCCAGAAATGAATGACTCGCCCAAGTTTCTGATCTGGGAAGTGGCTGAGTGGAGACTCAAAACTACAAAAATGACTCACGAGTTTCACCCTGTGGCCTGCGGTTGAAGAGATGTTCCAGGTACACTCCCTCCGGCTGGGGTATTTATCAGGCCAGTTGGGGCTTGCCAGGGTCCCCTCTGCACTGCTGATCTTGTGCGCACAGCCAGCTGGGTGTGACGGACACATGGAGAGAGAATCATTCACTGCGGGTAGCACCAAAGGCGTTCATTCTAGGGGAGCTCCCCCCTTCTCCCTTGTCTCAGGGTCATCAACATAGGGGTGGCCAACCTGGATCAAGTGTCCCCTGGTGCAGAGATTGCCTATCTGTTTGAACTGGCTGTGCTGCCTTCCTGGCTGTGGCTCAGCAGCCAGGTCACCTCCTCCCTTTGACTGTTCACATCAAGGTCATCATTGCAATCTGGTAGAGCTAAGAGCACAGACCCGGGCTCATTTGGAGCTTGGTTCGAGTCCTGGTTCTACCACGGACGGTCCTCAGGGCTGTGTCTTAATTTGCAGAAGTGGGGCCGACCTTGCACGCGTGGATTAAATGAGATCATGTGTGTGAGAGGCCCGAGCCGAGCGCTTCATCCCTCTATCTACACGCTTCCTTCTGCTTTTCAAAGCGTTTTCACCTGGAGTCGGCCTGCTTCGTCCTGGTTACAGTGCATTAACAAACGGTGGTCCCACGACTTGCTCAATGCCTAGCACTTTGGCCAGTGGCTAGATTTTGTCTCCCTCTGTGCTGAGCATTGTGGTGAGTGTTCTGTAGGCATCCTCTCACTCAATCCTTCCCAGGTCTAAAGAAGAAACTAGAAGGGGCCTGTGGTCTTCCTATCCTCCCCACCCACGACTTCTCCTGCTGGGCTTTGTGGCTGGGCCAAGGCATGAAGTCTGTGTTGATCACAGAGGGGCAAACTCCCTTCCCTTGACAGGGTAAGAACAGACGGAAGGTTTTTTTCCCAGAATGACTGGACATTGATAGCCTTCTGGCCCTGAAGAACTCCCAGCAGTGAATGGGGCTGGAGCAAAATATATTTCACTATGAGGTCTGTATTACTGTAATATGTAAATAATACTATACCACAGGCATAAATGGCCCATATTTATTGACATCTAAGGGTATAATATGTATCAGACTGCCTGAAATGCTTTCTAGACATTTTTACAAAAACTTTAGGAAGGAGATATTTAGCACCTTTTTAACAAAAGAGGAAACTGTGACTCAGGAAGGTTAAGTAATTAGCTCAAGGTCCCACAGCTAGTGAATGGCAGAGAGAGGATTTAGACCCAGGTAGTCTGATTCTGCTGCCCACAGGTATACCCACCCTGCTATTGTAACTCAGCTTAAAGCCCCTGAGGCTGCCCCGTGCCTGCTAAGACCTGGCAGGAGGGCCGCAAGTGGTCGCTGGGAGGAGGGCAAAGGCCCAGCCTAGGAACACTGCGGCCCACGCCTGTTCCCGCCCACGCCACGCCCTCCCGCAAGCACATGCGCACTCCGAAGGCAGGGCAGGTGGCCGAGGCAGCGCCACCCCTGCAGGCTCCGGCTCACCCTCTTTACAGTCGTGTCCATTCTCATGCAGCCGGTAGCCGCTCCTGCATCTGCACAGGTAGCTCCCAAACGTGTTGACACACTCATGCTGGCAGCCACCATTGTCCTTGGCGCACTCATCCTTGTCTGGGGAGGTCAAGGGACTCTCCTAAGAGAAGCGGCCAACTTGGGAACTTCCCTCGAGGTACAGAACCTGCCCAAAGTGGCCTCCTCCAGTGGCCTCCCTGATAGACCACCCCTGCTTTTCTCCTGATGTGGAGTCTCTTTGCTCAGATTTGGGTGTCACTTGGCTTGTGTATGGGAGGGTTGCAGCCACCACCCAACAAATGCCCAGACTTGCAGGGAGCCACCACAGCTAGAAGAGGCCAAGGAGGGTTGTCTCCAGAGCCGACTCCTTGATCTCAGATTGCTGGCTGCAGAACTCTAAGAGAACACGGTTTTTTTGTTCTAAGCCACCCAGGTGTGGGAGTTGGTTATGGCAGCCATAAGAAGCATAGCCACTGATACCAAATCAAACCAGACAGAACCTCTAGGTGCAGGCTCTTACTGTCAAGGCAGAGGGCCCAAGAGAGAAGGGAGGGAGTAGGAGACAGGAGGAGCCCAGGACCCCCGGGAGGCCTGTAAAGCCACCTCACCCCCAGTCCCTGGCCTCACCTCCAAACCCACACACCTGAGAAGAAGTGGGCCCTGAAGCCGCGTTTGGAGACGGTGTTGTCAGACTTGAACTCCACGCGCATGTTGTTGCTCTGCGAGGTGATGACCTCGGGGGTCTCTGAGCCACAGAACTTGCCATGCAGCCTGGCGTCAGAGGATAGGCCACTGCGTACCTCCACAAAGTCGTACTTGCAAACCTACAGGGAACAAGGTGCAGAGCAGCCTGTTACGCCCATGTCCCCTACCCCAGGCCTCTTTCTGAGAGCTGCACTTTGTCATGGAGCCTGATGGGCTCAGCCCACCCAGGGGAGGTTCCCCTTGACTCTCTGTGCCAGTCACTAGAGGGAGTCCCAGAGGGCAATGACGGGGACTTTGTTTTCCAGCTGAGGCTCTTGTGCCTGGCACCATAGCTTATGGCTAACTGTAGCCCGATTTCTACTTATTTTGTATATTGGGCTTCTACACGAGAGTTTGCTTGAAGAAAGGCCCCCACTGAGAAGGAGAAGGAGGAAGAGAAGAGGAGGACACAATCCAACTCCATCATATTCCCATGGAGAGAAACTAAAGCTCAGAAGGGGAAAGACATTTTTCTGAAGTCACACAGCTAGCCAGTGGTGGAGCCAGGACTGGAATGGCTCATGTTACCTGCTGTAGCAATAATTTTTCTCAAAAGCAACTTCACTGCTGAATGGTCTGAACAATTACTTTCGAGGGTTTATTTTTCCCATGCAGTATTTACTTGGTGGTGAACCCCTCGTTGGCACCTGAGTCCCTGTGTATCAGGGTCATTAGCATTGGGGTCTCTTCTGAGTACCCCAAAGGGCTGACTAGGTGACAACCTGGCTGGCACTATTAGGGTGAGAATCCTAGCTTGGTTGGGGCAGGGGGAACATGGAAAAGGGCTTGTGTGCCCCCAGTGTCCCTCCAGTTCCAGGTGCAGACAGGGAGCGTTTCCGACAAGCACTCTGATTCAGGACGCTGCCTGGGCCTCGCCTGACTTGGTCATCCAAGACCACTCTCGAGAGAGGGAAGAGATCCTTGTGTCTAGGTGGTCCTCAGCCCCTCTGTTCTCCATAGCTGGACACCAACCCCCACATTTGCACCCCAGAGTTCAGACCTGTCCTGACCACCCCCAAACCCCAACACCTGCCTCCTTCATGCTTGTCCCCCTTCTCCTTAGATTTGTCAATGACAAGAGGACCTGAGGCACTATTCACAGAGGATGTGCAGCCAACACCGCTGGATAATGCGCCCCAGGATTCTATGACTCTGAAAGCAGCAGCTCCAACACCAGCCACCTCCCTGCCTGCGGGGGCCCCTCCCCGGTGCCCAGCTCCGAGTCACTTCTCAACACAGTCCCGCATCAGTGGGCGCAGAGACATACGTCATTGCCTTCCAGTTCAAACACTTCGAACTGCAGGGAGATGCGGTACTGAACAGGGGCCACCACCTGCCAGACACAGTTTTTATTTGTGGGATACTCCTTGGGCCACCCAGGGCTGGTGATGGTTCCGTTCAGCTTGGTAATGAAACCGCCACAGGCCACTGCACGAGGGAAGCAGAAACAAGATTCATTTGGTTTTAGTTCCAAGTGACTGCAGTTTCCCCCAGGCAGCAGTAAGCCCTGCTGTTCTTCAGTAATAATGAAAAAAGTTAGGCAATCTGAACTGACGAATGTAGTGTCCTGTTTTCTAACCTCATTGCTTCGACTGAGGATTTGGAGGGACAGAACTGAGAAGAGTCTTTACTGCTTTTAAAAATGACAACCATGCATTTGACCTGTGGTCAGCACAGGTGGGGGTTCCACATAACTTGGAGCAAAGGACAAATAGAAGTGTTTGCATCAAGCTGTTCACCACACCTGGCTTGCATTAGCAAGCCGATTCAAACAGGTGGGCAAGGTGCACAGACCCCGGCCAGGGAGAAAAGGGACGGAGGAAATAAGCTATTAGTCCACAGCCAGCCAGCTGCCCCATCTCTGCCCCATCTCTCCTAAAACTTGCCCCCCTCCCCTGCCATTCCAGCTTGGCAGGATCAGCACCAACCTTCACATGTCTTCTTGTCGGTGGCCAGCTCATAGCCGGGGTCGCAGGCGCACTTGTAGCTGCCCAGCGTGTTCACACAGCGCTGCTCACACCCGCCATGTTCTGGCCTGGAGCATTCATCCACCTCTGCTGGGGAGGAGGGCAACCTGCTAAAATCATCACACAGCCACCTAGCCAACTCCCCGCCCTTCACATCCCAGGGACCCAGTTGAAGTCTTCCAAGAACCAGTGCAGTCCTGCTGACCACCTCCAAGGAGCCCTGTGTCCCCATTTGTACTGGCGGTAGCTGTGATTTGGATGGGATCCTGACAACCCAAGCAGGAGCACCTGGTCAGCAGCGTGGGGCTCCTCCTGGGGAGCCCATTCCTGGACAATCAAATTCTACAAGGTGTCCAGTAAGCAGTGTGCATGTGTGTGATTTTAAAAAAGTCTCACAGGGTTCCATACCATTTTAATGCCATGGAATGGAGGATTCCCACCCCCTAATATAGAACTTCTCAGAGACATTCACAAAAAGGGAACAATGAAAGGACACTTTTCTAGATGAAGATGTGTAAGTACTATAGACATTAAAAGTGAAATCTGTCATTCAGCTTTCTTATAGATAGCCTCAATAAATAAATGTAGGGAGATCTGAAAGGTTACAAAAAACACTGGGCTTCTCATTGCTCCCGGAAGAAACTGCAGGGAGAAGCCAGGGGGAGGAAGCGTTGGGGAGCCTGAGGGACAAGCTCCTAGGGGTGCGTTTGGAGCATTAAATAACAGGAAGTGGAATACCATGAGTGCCATCCAGAAGAGCACAGGAGCCATTGGAGGCTCCTCCCCCCATGCTAGCCCAGGCACTACTGAAAACAAGACAAATCCCAGCAACTGGCATTTCCAAAGAGCATTAGGAATAAAAGGGAAAATATCTGCATTGCCGAGCCCTGGAATCTAGCCCTGAAAAAGAGCTTGTGGGCTGCAGTCCACAGAGGTAGAGGAGTCTAGCCGAGGGACAACAAAACTGAAGATAGAAAGTCCAGCCTGGGAAGAGGAAAGGGTAGAGCGGGGCAGGAAGGAGAGTATTGTTCCAGAGCACCACGGAAGACCAGAAGAGCGCAGACAAGGAGTTGTTCCCCAAACTGTGAAGAAGACGTGACACTTGTAATGACAGAAATCAGGACATCTAAGAAAGACACCCAGTCTCCCACCGCAGGCAGGGGTCCTTCTCCTAACAGTCCCAATGGACGGCTTTCCAGATTCTGCCTGAAAAGTCCAGGGCAGGGCTCTGGCTACTTCTCGAAGGTGTTTCTTGGGTTGTCTGACTCCATGCAAGTCCCAACCCAATGGCCCTGCAAAGACACAAGTCCTCCAGCCTCACCCCACCCTCTCCGCTGTGCTTTCCCTACTTGATGAGCCCGTGAGCTGCCGATCTCCCCTTTCTGGGCTGCACCAATCTCTCACCGGCCTGGATGGCATGTAAACACCCCACCGCTTCACACAGTCGCTAGTTAACTGAGGTACCCCTCAGGGTGGGGTGTTCTTGGGCTCAGCAGTGGCCAGTTAGGGGCCACTGGGATTAAAGATGGCCCAGGCAGGGAGTTGAAATTATCCGTGGCCTCCAATAAATTTAGTATTAAGTACTTTGAAATAGTAACCATCAGGCAATTGTTTTTTCCTCACCTTACAATAGGAAAAGCACTTTCTTAGACATCGGCTAGAAAATATAGAAAGAAGAGAACAGATAACAAGAAGCAGTGGACGGAATCCAGGCCTTCAAGTGAGACAGATCAGGCTGGGTCCACCAGGGGCTCTTCCCCACTCCATTGCAAACTGGGTGACCACTGGGATTTAACCCCTCTGAGCCTCCCTCCTGTGCAGGAATAGGAGAAGAACGGTCCTTGCTTCGAGGGGGTGATTGGAAATGATGCCCGTGAAGTACCCAGCATACGGGGCTCAGGGAGATCACTACAGACAACAGTGGAGTGGCTGCTGAAATTCAGTGGGTAGAGACACACAACGATGGGGGAGTGGATGCAGAAAACTACCTGGCCACACCTGAACCAGGTGAGTGGAGCAGTGCAGGCCTGAGGAGGGGAAGGAGCCAAGGTGGGGGGGACAGAATGATGGAAAACACATCAAGGATGGACCGGTGGAGGAAGACCAAATGGGCAGGAGGAATGCACAGCAGACGCTAAAAAATGGGTGAAGGGCAGAAGGAAACCAAGGAGTGTCTGTCAGAGTAGACAAAGACAAACAAAGCCCAAGGCAGGGACAGGAGGAGTTCTGATGCCAGAAGATACAGTGGCGGTGGGCAGAACACACAGGAAAGATCCATGGATAAGTTTCTCAGTGCCATAGCCAGGTGCAGGAGGGAGTCCAGTGGAGTGGACTTAAGCCTAAAGCAAAGGAAATGCAATTCCTGCAAAGACGGGAAGGGTAAGGCATTGAGCCGTTGAGGGGGAGAAAGGGCGGCCTTTTCAAGAGCGGTGGTGGTGGCGTCTCACCACTTCATAGATGTACAAAAGTGTCTCAGGGCCCTGCTCTCAGAGGGAGCCTGGTTGTCTGCATCACCTCCGTGCTGCCACAAAGTAGCATCTGCTCCAAGTCCACTGGCTCCTGTTTGCTCTGGGCTGTTGTGGCCGAGGCCAACCAGCCAGGGAGAGCACAGAGGTAGGTAGGAGAAGAGGCTGGAGCCAGGACTCTGCTCAGTATGGTCAGCTCTGGCTTCTTTCTATGCTCTAGGTGGAATAAATAGATGGAGCCATTCTGTGCCTAAGAGATGGTTTAGGCAGGATCCCAAAAAATCGTTTCAGAGAGAGTTGGGGAAAGGGGCAAGAGAACTTTTGAGGAAATGCCTTGAAGGAAGCCAGTCCCCACCACTAGACACCCAGCACTGCCCATCTGCACTGGACAGTGGAACACGGGGCTCAAGGTGGAATCCTTGCATTAGTCATGTAGGGGGTGTGGGACCAACTGGCCCACCCAACCCCTGAAAGCCACTGCCATCTCCCAAAGCAACAGAAGCCCAAGGTGCTCTGCTTGTTGCCCAGCCAGCAGGCCCTCAGAGGGGCTGCCATCTGGCATCAAGAGATGAGGGCTGAGGCCAACTGGCACCCCGGCCAGTGTCATGGGCCAGCTGGGCCCTGGGCAGAGCCTGCTGCCAACTGGCACCAAGGCAAGAGCCTCTTCTCGCTCCAGCTCTCCTGCAGGCCTTGTAGTTACACTTCCAGTTTCTTTCACTGGCTCGGTCCTGCCACACGAGCTGGTCTGGCTGGGAGAAGGCTGGGCTGAGGAAGCTGGCCATTATGATTCCTGTTCTCTTTCTTGCCATCCCCAGGATGCCTCATAAAGGGAAAAAGAGTAACCCCACATCTCGTGTGGCACTCTCAGCTTATAAAATGCCTCCACAGACGGCATTTCACAGGGGCTTCACAGAAACTGGTTAGAGAAAAGGGGCAGATATCCTCCTCCCTACTCTACAAAGGGGACAGCTGAGGCTTCAGGAAGGACACGTGGCTGCCTGCTTGGGTGGTATGGTTAGAAGAGGGTTCTTCGGACACCCAGATCCTTCATGTAGAATCTGGAAGGGAGTCTAAAAAGCAGGCAGAAGGGAGAAGGGAAGAGGGGCCAGGATCTCTGGGCTGGCAGGGCCAGGAGCCCAGGAGAGGTGGAGAGGCAGGGAAGCAGCCTCGCTGGGCGGGAGTAGCTGGGCAGCTCGGGAAGTGCTGGCACTTATTAAGGGGTCTCCACTGCAGAGGACAGGCTGTCTCTACGCGGACTGCAGGAATGCTACTGGGCGCCAATCACAATGCACTGAGCAACATCCATGTTCTCCTCCTAGAGTGTGGTCTGCAGGACGTCAGGGGCCCCGAGAGCAGACAAGGAAGACCCACCATTCACAGGAGGCTTGGAAGCCCACACTGGGGCCAAGAATGCTGGGGCTGCTTCCACCAAGATCCTGCAGAGTAGCAGGTCCCCAAGGAAACAAGGAGATTTGTTTCCAGAGCATCCCCTGATCTGTTCCCCCCACACTCCCCCAGGGGTAGGCGTGGAGGCTGGGGGCTAATGCTTCAGGAGCTGAAGTCCTGGGTTGCCTCTGGCCCACACTAAGGAGTACAAGGCAACACCCTAGGAAGAGTTTGAGCTGGGAAGTCACACTGTGTTGGGCTCCTCCATCTGCCACTTTCCTGGCTGATCCTGAGCAGCCCTATTCAGTGCTGATCAAATGTAACCCAAACCTAACTCAGGGGGCTATCAGGAATTCAGTGACATCAAGCAAATCAAGTACCTTACACAGCTCTTGCACACAGTAAGTGCTCAACTGATGATCACTTCTATACAAATATTTGTTATTATGGATGTTCGGCTTCCCTCAAGTGTGGTTTGACCTTGTCAGCTTGCTAAATCAAATTTCCAAGTACAGACCCACTGGCCCTGCAGAGGCCAAGGCTGAGCCTGCTCAGGATCAGTTGGGGGCTCCACGGGATCCTACACGTAGCTCTGAAATGGGTCGCTGCCTCCGCCCTGCAGGGAGTCTGGTTGGTGCTGAGGTGCCATATGGGTTTTATGATTCTAACACTGGGGGAGCAATATTTCTTCCTGTGACTAAAAGGGGAAGCGAAACGCTAATTCATACCCTTGAAAAAATTGGCCGCAAACCCCGCCTTGTTGATGGAACCATCGGACACGAACTTCATCCACAGTCTATTGGAGCTCGATTTCACATCCTCAGGCTTCTCGTAGCCACAGAAGTGGCCAATCAGGGCGCTCTCTTCCGTGGGGCCATCCCGGATCTCCAGGTAGTCGTAGGCGCAGCTGTCATGCCTTTCAATCTAAAGGGAGAAACAGAGACAGTGCGGAAGGTGGCAGATGGCAGGGCTTCGTGGTGTCCCACTTGAGAATGAAGCCGAGACTTCACCCTCACGAGCTAACCCAGCCGGCGTGTCCTGAACTTCTCCAAACTGTTTCCTTGTTACAGAAGTCAAGGGCGAATCAAGCTGAGAAGAGAATCAGAGAAACAGGGAAGAAGGATTCTATAAAACTGCCCTGGATTCCGACCTGGGGCCCTCAGCCTGCCCACAGCAGCCTGCAGAAAGGAGGTGAACCAAATTTCAAAACTGACAAAAATTTTGATATCAGATGTCCAGGCACAACTCACAAGGGGCTTGAAATGGCTTCTTGGATTCCTGTTTTTAACATGAAAACATATCTTTACAGAGCGCTTTTCCAACAAAAATTGCCACTTACTGCCTCCCAGGTAAGACAATTCGAGTGTCCTTACCTCAAAAGCTTGGAAGGTAAGTCCCACGTGGAACCCCTCGGAAACCATAATCCTCCACACACATTCCTTGGAAGGCCTGTAGTCATCTGGGTAGTTGGGAGATTGAATCTGGCCGGCATCTTTGTTAATGTCTCCTCCACAGGTAGCTTTAGAAAGAGTGTGGGAGGAAGGAGGTCAGGGGAAGGCAGGAGGCCACTTGTCACCAATAGGTGGCTCCACGCACCAACATTTTCATCTGCATCCAACAAAGACTGCCTCAGAAAGGCACAAATGCATCTGGATTTTTTTCATATGAAGAAAATAACCATATGGAGCCTTCCCTGGGCATCAAATTCACCTGGAAGATCACTCCAACTGTGGATGTCAGAGCCACACTCCCAGAGGTTCTGATTTGAGTGGCTCTGGGGAGCGCTGCGCAGCAGCAGTGTCCTGGGGTGATTCTAACACACACTGTGTGGGCACATGTATGCACGCTCACACAGACAAGAATGTTATTGTTATTATTATTAGTGTTATTAATAATACTTTATTATTCTACGAAAAAACCCCTCCAGCCTCTCCAAAAGTATAATAATTTGAGGCCAACAGGAGCCTTCATAATTTTCTAGCAGTGTCCCCCCTTTTTTTCCCCTAGGGTGGGGCAGGTGGTGTGAGGAGTGAGCCAGAGAAGCTGGGCACATAGAAGCAGCATTACCCTCCTGTAATCCCAGCGGCTTGGGAGGCTGAGGCAGGAGGATCGCAAGCTCAAAGCCAGCCTCAGCAAAAGCAAGGCGCTAAGCAACTCAGTGAGACCCTGGCTCTAAATAAAAAATAGGCTCTAAATACAAAATAGGGCTGGGGATGTGGCTCAGTGGTCAAGTGCTTCAAGTTCAATCCCCAGTACCAAAAAAAAGAAGAAGAAGAAGAAGAAGCAGCAGCAGCAGTATTACTTTCTATGGCAGCACTTTTAAGAAGTGCAGTTTCTTCCCTGATGTTGTCTAGAGTTTTCTTTTCACAAGTGAAACAAACAGAGACCCAGAGAGGTCAGGTTCTTTGCTCAGGCTCACACAGCTATTCAGAGGCCACTGCTCTATAACCCTGACACTATCCCTGTGTGGGTAAAACACTCCCTGGATGGTCCGGAAGGAGGGTTCAGCAGGCTGGTGACAGGTAGATGCCTCGGGTTCTGAGGGGAACAAACCTTCATACACTGCGAAGAAGCCTTTGCCCAGGATGTTGCTGCTGCTGCGGAACTCTACCCAGAGCCGGCTGTCGGTGGAGACCACGGGCTCTGGGACTTTATCGCCACAAAACCTACCTAAAAAGTGCAAAAGACACAGTCAGGATACCCGGGGACGCCAAGAAGGTGCTCACTGCAGACTGACCATCATGGTCTTTCAAAGTGGATTGAAGTGAGCAATAACCCAACCAGTGGCAGCTGACCTATAGCACACACAGGACTGGGAGACGGATTGAATGTCTGGTGATCATTCTCCTGTGCCTCATGCAGGAGAATTCCAGATTCTGATCACTCTAAGCACCCGGGGTACCACTGAGGCCCCTCCCCTGCCAAATGTGGCAGCTCTGCAGGTGTGGCAGAAGGGCGGTCAGGGAGTGAGACCTGCTTCTTTGCTGTTTCCTATTCTTTCATCCCCAAAGGCAGGGGGCATTCTGCTTTCCTTGCCTCAAGAATGGAGGCCAGAGAAGACACAACAAAGAAAACGAATCCTGGCTTTTGAATCTCACAAGCCGAGTCACAATACAGAAGATGTGGAAGCCCGCACAGTGATGAGTGCAATTTCCTCACCCTTGGAATCTTAGAAAGGTTCCTAGGAGGGAGGAGGGAATGGACTAGGAGGCAGGGTTGGAGAAGGCACCATGCAACCCCTAAAGGATCTGTACCCTGTCCCACCCTGAGCTGAGACTGTATGAAAAAGGACAACAGAAACCTCAGGCAGGTTTTAGGATCTGGGAGAAGCAGAAAATTGCATCACCAGTCCTTGGCCAGAGTCTGAGGAGCAACAGGACCTTAAGATTCCCCTGCCCCTTGTGGGGTCAGAGCAGATGTGTCTACATGGTTCTGGAAGACACTTGGCCATGAGACAGGAATGCAGAGCTCCTCTGCAGAGCATGATATAGCTCAGCAACACAATTCTAGGCTGCTGTGGGGCTGCGGAAGCAACTTTCTCACAGTCCACAGAATTTGGGGAGCCAGAGAATGTCTCCCTAGCTTGGAGGGAGATGTGGACGTGGTACCATTCTGAACTGCCCTAGTATCGAGGCAAAGAGGAGGCTCGGTAGCCATTTAGCACTGACTAGGTGGAGATGAGGACATCCCAGCAAGGCCAGTCAGGATGGCAATATGGAGGCCTCCCTGCCATGCCTTGGCACAAAGCATGCCCCCAACCCAGGGGAAGAAAACACAAGTTGAATGAAATCAAGTTCCTAATACCCGATAGAAAAAGGGCTCATAATAGATAGATATTTTTGTTCTTGAAAAAAAAAATCCAACATTTCTTAGACACTTGTATATGTGCTCTGAAATCCGGACCCTCTATGGAGGATGCCTTCCTAGCACATGGTGATCCAAGGTCATGGGCAGGGATGGGGTGGGGCAGGAATGGATTGAGTCTCACTGGTCAAAACACAAAACAACCAGGGTCCATGGGGATTGAAAGTCTGTAGTTCTGCCAGGCACCTACTTGTGCACAGTCCTCAAAGAATTTATTTAGCTTTGGGGACAGGAGTAATGGGGAGACTCCAACAAATATGGTGTCCTTCGGAGGATGATGGAAATATTCTAAAATTGATTGTGTGCCTCTGTGAACATACTAGACACCACTGAATTTAAACTATGAACTTCACAGATTGTAAATTTTATCTCAACTTTATTTAAAGTCCATTTAACAGATATTTAGTGCACACTCGCTGTCAACGCCACATCAGGCACGGGGCAGACCACTTGAAGCTGTACTTCTGCTTTACCTTCCTGAGAAAGAGGGGAGCAGCGAGACTGGGGGAGGTCTAGATGTCACGAGGGGCATTTCTTAGTGGTCAACTCTGGTTTGTATTCTTTGGGGAGAGATGGGATAGAGAGCCGCTAATCTCTGCTTCCTTTTGATTCTGGGCACCTGTAGACATTTGGATTTGGTAAGCTTAATATTCAGAGAGATGAGATAAAACCGCTGCAGAGACTTTGGCAAGAAAAAAATCCCTCAGAAGCCTATAAATTTTCGGTAATTGTTCCTCTGGCATGGCCAATTAGTTTCGATTAGTTTTTGGAAAAAGACACATACCAGCGCTCGCCAGCGGGGAGACAGCGCGCTGAACAGCAGTAGACAATGCCAGTCCACAAAGGGAATTCCTTCTTAGCCTAGCCCGAGTTTCAAGTCCAAGTTCCTGCTTTTAAAACCCCAGCTGTCCCAGTCAATGGGGACTATTTCCAAAAGAAAAAGGGACACTGGCTGCCTCACTGCCCGAGGACCTAACCGGATAAGAACCACCCACCAGCCTAGGATCAGAGGATCAGCAGCCTCTGCTCTGGACCCTGGAGAAGGGAGGAACTGCGACTGAGTATATTTGCAGCCTCTGCAAAGCCAGACTTGACCGGATAGATTAAAAATCTAAGTGCTCTCCCCCAGTTGCTTTTTCATTCTTAACTGGACCCCATTACCTGGCCCCTAGAGTAACACCCCAGCATTCTCAGCTTTACCGCAGTGGCTCTCAGAAAAGTCCCTTTGTCACTGACCATGTCCATGCCAGCCACCGTCCTAGGCACTTCATGTGGCTTTATCTCACTTCATTCCTATACTCCCTGACCTCAGTGCTATTGCTAACGCATTTCATAGGGGAAAAAATTGAGGATCAGAGAACTTTTCTCAAAGCTGGAAATGGAAGCAGAATTTGTACCTCGTCGTCTGAGATCTGGCCTTTCATCATCAATATTACCTCTTTCATTATCACCACCATCAAAAGGAACTTGGGTGAAATTCTGAACACTGCACAATTTTGGATAGATAGACTTGGACTCTGCTCTCTAGGAATGTAAGCATCATGTCCATTTCCCAGATTGGAAACAGCCGAGTTCCTCCAAATGAAGGTCAAAGCCTCACACCAGGAAGCAAGTCTAGTGAAATAGCGGTCTTGGCTGCTGGCCTCACTCTATCATTCCTGTTGGTTCGGGAAGCTGCTCCGGCTTAGGGCACTCCACGACAGTGAGGCCACACGACACTGATAGCCAGACTGGCCTTTCTGAACTTTCCTCCCCATTTCAGGGAAAGGGGGCTTTTGTGTGTATGGTGGAGTTCCAGAATGTCCAAAACTAGGTACAGAAGTTCCCGGATCTGGAGGAGGAGTTTAATAAGGATATCAATTACTGAAAATTTATAGGCTTCTGAGGGATTTTTTCTTAGAGTAATTCCTCTAACAGAAATACGCAAGAGGAACTCAGTTTCCAGGACAGTGCTTAGAAATACTGGACAGGTTCTGCATGCAACATCGCCTCCTGTCTTTCAGCACAATCTTTTAAGTGGCCCCTGAAACTGAAAAAACAATTTGAGATCTGTACCAGTCATGAAATGTTCTTCTTGTCCTTAATTTTCCCTTGAAATCACTATGTGAAAATCTGGGTCCCAAACAGCCTCCTTCCAGGGAGAATAAATAGGCTGGAGAGAAACTGGAATAGAGAAAAGGTATCAAATTCCTAAACTGAAATCTGGTTCCCGGATCTGGAGGAGGAGTTTAATAAGGATATCAAGAAGAGGAAATGCAGATGAGGACCACTACAAGTGGGCTCCATGGGGAGTCATAAAGGGTTCATTCATAAAAAGTTATGCGCGCATTATGCCTGGATTTTCACACACTGCCCTGGGAAAAAATGCAACGCACAGTTTTTCAGAGCAAGATGCATACTTTCACAATCCACCCTAATCCGCTCTCCCTCCTGCCAAAGGGGCATTGACCTGCCTCCTTCCAGTAGATTTCATGGCACTGACCCCTCCCAGGGACCGGCTCTGCTGACACGGTGCACTTGTTCCAAACACAAAAGTTCACTAACAACTGCATTTGGAAACATCAGAGCGGGCCAAAGAGTTGGCAAAGGAGAACTGCCGCAGAGGAAGAATGGCGGTCACAGAAGCTGAGCACGCGCACGCGCACACATACCATACCACACAGCACACCACACACACACATACACACACCACACACACCACACACACATACACACACCACACACAC